GTGCCGGATCTCTTTGAAAGAGCTGAAGCCTGTGTAATCAAAAGCAAAGCCTTTTGTCTCTTTAACACACATACCAAAGAAGCTGCCGAAGAGGCCACATCAGAATGAATGAATATTTAATTGAGGCCTATTGAGGCAGAAGATCAAAATGACCTTGCTTTAAATGATTATTCACTGATAAAAATAAAAGTAGGGTAGGACAGAATGGAAGCTGTACACTCAAGAGCCTTTTTCCAACGCTGTTCAACAATTGAACATGGAGATCTAGCGCACGAGACAATTTCTCTTAGAATGGTGGACAATGACCATATGCAGCCATGAGGTACTGTAGGTTGTGTGTTGAAGTGCAATTACATGATGGTGTCTCCGTTTTTTCTCTTTGTGCACTAGGTTAGTTTGATTTCTGATAAAGACGAATATACTGGCACCGCTCTCGTTCCCCTTTTTACCAACTGCTGTTGTGTAGCTGGCTTGAGATGCGTGGTCCTCGTGTTCGATCGGTACTGCAGTGTTGCTGTCCCCAGGTGTCACACTTTAACCTTTGTTGTATATGGTAGCTACAGGGATGGAGCTATGGGGATGCGTAAAGGTGAGTCACAGTACTCTATATAAAAATATAACGTGTCCACACGTTACAAATAGACGTTGTTGTGCATGTTATTGTTGCGCTTGCTTATTTTGTTAATCCGCATTACAAACGGTAAGAAGTATTTCTTTGGAAATGAGCTACTACTGATCTTTTGCATTACTACAAATTACTGTTTCACTTTTCAAGCCATTATTGGGGGAAAAAGAGCTCTCGTCTTTAGCCTATGCAGCCGTGGACCTTTTCCACAATGAAAAAAACTCAAGGAAAGAGAAAATTGAAGCGTTCCATAAGTCTGACATTGCTTCACACAGATGTTCTGTTTAGGGTTCCTTGCTTTGACAATTGTGCTTTTTTATTTCCATCTGAAAGGAAATGTGCTCGCAGTCAAGCAGTCTCTCTGCCCTTTGGTTTCACATTGAACCAGTGGGAGTAGTTTGATTGCTTATACTTTAGCTGCCATGCTATTACTGTGATCAAGGACAGCTGAGTCTACATTTGATAACTTCACATTTGATAAAGAGACAAAACCTTGAGTTCCTCATTTTATAGAAACACACAAGGAACTGAAGAGTCCCATCCCACCCATATAGTTTTTCATCAATTCCAATGTCAGTCATGTCAACTCGCACAAGAATCCACGTCTCACAATCATACTATGAAAACAAAACCGAACGCAGCCATGAGAGAGCAAGAACGCCTCTCAGGACTGTTTTTAAAATGTCATATATATAAATAACCATCAATACTGCGTTTAACATGCAATTACAAAACATCATTATTGTATTTGTTCTTAAAATATGACACTATTTTAAGGATTGTATGGATTCAGGGACCTCAAAGGAAGATGATTTTTTTTTTTTTTCCTGTCCCGTTTGGCTCTTTTGCCATCAGAATTATTGTCTAAAGGCGAGGAAAGATGCCCAACGGATTTACTTTACCAAATTGACCATCCCAGCCTTGCCATAATGGTCTATTTGATTCATCTTTTATTGTTTATTTTATTTATTTATTTCACTTGCTAGATATGGGACAGACTTGAATGAGGAAAAGAAAAGGGAGAAAGGAAGAGGGGGGAAAAACAGTGGAGAAGAGGGACGGGGATAAAGGGCAAAAAAAACCCCCAAAAACCAACTAAATAAGCAGACAAAAAATACATATATCAATCACCTGGATCACCTGTTGAGAAAGAAAACAAGCAGAAGAAAACGAGAGCAATACCATAAACAACATCACAATGATATATGGGAATATAACAGTAAATACTAAATATTAAACATTATTGTGCAGCACGTAAGATCGACAGCGCACAGTGTGCTTTGAGGCAGGGCTGGAGATATGTTTCATATTGTGAAAAC